TATGCCTGCACACATGATCTCACAAGGTGTCGCTGTCGCACTCATCGCGGCTATGTTATTTTTGCACGTGTGGTGTGATTTAGATTGGTATTTGGATATATCTCTACGTATAATTTTTACTCTCTTTATTTTCCTACTTACAATAAGCCATACTTTAACACCTTTTTTAAGAAAAATGTTATTCATTTATTTAGTGGTAAAATGACAACTATGGAAAACAACAACCCACTAAAATCAAGTTTAAACTTGGTTTGTAGTGATTATAATTATATTGCGGTTGTTTCTCAAAGTTGCAAAACTAGTGATGTGGATGAGTGGGTGGTAGACTTCGGGGCTACCAAGCATATTTGTAAAAACAAAAATGCTTTTACCTCCTATACTATTATAGGAGATAATGAAGAGCTCGTGTACCTAGCGGACTCTAGAACCGTTAAGCTGCATGGAAAAGGGAAAGTTCTTCTGAAGCTCACATCGGGGAAAACTTTATCACTAAATGATGTGCTTCATGTGTCCGAGATTAGTACTAATTTGGTTTCCGTCTTTCTCTTGGGAAAAGTTGGGGTTAAAGTTTCTTTTGGTTGTGGCAATTTTGTTATGACCAAAAATGAAGTTCTTGTGGGAAATGGCTATTGTAAGAATGGACTTTTGGTGCTTAGTATTTCTGAAATATTGCATGATAATGCTTCTGTTTATTTAATTGATTCTTACTATGTGTGGCATGCTAGACTAGGACATGCAAGTAATTCTTATATTAAAATGCTACATGATTGTGGTTTGATTTCTAGCAAAAATAAAATGACTCTAGAAAATTGTGATATGATTGATGAATTTATATAAATTTTATTAGAGCATCTACACTGTGATTAGAGGTGGTAAAAGTTCTTTGTCATATTTATTGGTGATTTTTCGAGATAAACTAAATTTTATCTTATTTGAATTTAAAAGGCGCATTTTTTTATAAAATCATTGTGTACAAATAAAGGTTGAGATATTACTTATCTCTCTATGAATTCTAGGAGGGCTATGCACCTTGTTTTTAAATATTTAAAATTGTGGGGGTGCTTAGCTAAATTTTTATTACCTATTTAATTTGGTGAAAATGAACTTTTATAACTCTGGGACTTTTTGCATAAATTGAAATAGTGGATCATATATATGATTTTCTTAAATGAAAGAAATAGTATGCTAATGTGCAATACTTTATGGTATATTATTGTTGTTGTTAATGTGATCACTTTTGGAGAATGTGTACACACTAAATGATGCATGTGTGATTATTTGTTTATACGCTGTTGAAACAAAAAATGCTGAATTTTTTGAGAATGTGTTTCCTTTGAAAATTGAACACAAGACCGTTGCGCCATATTGTGATTGTGATCCATTACAAGGAAATAAAACCTTTAATAATGAACCCTCTAGTAATAGTGATCCATTAAAAGAAAATTATTCTTTTAATGATGAACCTTCTCCTTTAAGAAGAAGTAAGATGTCAAGGATAGAGAAATCCTTTGGAAGTGATTTTTATTCACACCTTATTAATCTTATTAATGATGAATTTTTGACTTATTCACAAACTTTTGTCCATCAAATGGATGTTAAAACTGCGTTTTTAAATGGTGAGCTAGAGGAAGAAATTTATATGGTGCAACCGGAGGGTCATGTAGTTATTGGTCAGGAACACAAAGTGTGTAAGTTGATCAAATCTTTATATGGTATGAAACAAGCTCCAAAACAATGGAATGAAAAATTTGATGAAGTGTTATTTTCTCATGGTTTTACCTCACTAGAAGTAGATAAGTGCGTATACACTAAATGTGAAAATGGTGCGTGCATTATTATTTGCTTATATGTGGATGATATGTTAATTTTTAGTAGCAACCTTGAACTAATAATTGAAACAAAATCCTTTCTTGCTTCAAAATTTATTATGAAAGACTTGGGGGAAGCAAAAGTGATTTTGGGTATGAAAGTCATAAGGAAGGATGATGGTATTATACTATCTCAAGAGCATTATGCTGAAAAACTTCTAAAGAGGTTTGGACATTTCGATGTCAGCCCCGTAAGCACCCCTTATGACTCTCATATACACTTGAAAAAACACAGAGGTGATCCCGAGGCTCAATATGAGTATTCCCAAATTATTGGAAGTCTATTACACTTGATGAATTATACGAGACCCGACATAGCTTATGTTGTCGGAAGATTGAGTCGATATACTCATAATCCAAGTGGGGATCATTGGACCGCGTTGAGGCGGTTACTCAGATATTTGAGAGGTACCATTAATTATGGTATATTTTATAGTGGGTTACCCGCTGTACTAGAGGGATACAGTGATGCTAACTGGGTCTCTGACTCAGATGAGATAAAATCCAACACTGGATATATATTCACCCTTGGAGGTGGTGCCATTACGTGGAAATCAACCAAACAAACTATAATCTCTAGATCCACTATGGAGTCTGAGCTTATTGCTTTGGAAGTGGCTAGTAGTGAAGCGGAGTGGTTGAGAAATTTCTTAGCAGAAATTCCGGTTGGTACAAAACCAACACCATCTGTGTCTATTCATTGTGATTGTAGAAGTGCAATAGATACTGCTAAGAAAATGTGTTATAATGGGAAGAATAGACACATTCGTTTAAGACATAAAGTCATTAAACGATTATTGAAGAATGGAATTGTGTCCATTAATTTTGTGAGGTCACAAGGAAATTTAGCGGATCCTTTGACAAAAGCCCTAGGACGAAAATTGATAACCGAAACATCGAAGGATATGGGACTAGTGTCACTTTGAAACAAATGGGGATGGGAACCCAACTTGTGTGATTGGAGATCCCATGAAGCAAGTTCATATGGGTAATAACAAGTCTTCCATTTAGTTCTGCTAGCCTAACTAAAATTGCCCATTTTCCATGATGTGAGATATAGGCTAGAAACTGCATTCTTTGAGAGGCTGAGCTAAAAGCTCTTAATGATTATCATAGCCCTTAACTTAAGGGTGGTGTGCAAAAGCGGTACACACTTGATGATATCACCTATATGAGTGTGAGGTGGGGTCGCCTCTATGAAGCATGACAAAACTTCTAGAGCACTCATGAACACCAAGCACGCGCATGGCCTTACGGCGCACAACGGCGTAATAACGAGAAATTGTGCGGGGTGAGACACGATCGTTAAGACCCTGATTTACCAATAGTAGCTTGTTGGTTCATAGAAACTATATGTTTCACCAAAAGCTCGGTTTATTAAGACTTAATCGTCTCGGTTTGGTTCATAGTCTACGGACACCAAACCTAAAGCCTCATTCCTTTAATCCAACAGAAATTTTATCTAAACTAATTCTCAAAAATTCATTTGAAATATGTGGGGGATTGTTGGAAAATTGAGAAGTATTTCAAATGAATAAAGTATTTTGTTTCTTTTTTTTTCATATTCTATCATTTGTTAAACACAATTAAGTGAAATGGTTACATATCTTTTCAAATGATTAAGAATTGTTGTTGGGCGGTTATAAAGTTAATAACCTACGTTACACTAAAAATTATATAACTTGGTTATTAATCAAATTTAATGAGATGTGCACCAACGTTTATAATAGTTATAATGCTCCGAACGTTAGCTTTAATGAAATATCATCTATCTGGCATGCAACTTCAACGTTTGTATATTTGCATGCACATATATATGTGTGGGTTCGGCTAGCAATAAAAACAAGAAAAAATATATTTTTTGAGCTATGAAAAACATCTCTTCCAATTTTATTCTGTTGGATTAATATATAATTTTCACTCTCGTTGTTCTGTTACCGGCTTACGCCGAAGAGCTCGTTATATCTTGGGGAAAGGTTTTCGCTAGTCGGAAATACTTTCTTGAGGACAGCGTCTGACGCGTCTCGAGCTATATTATTATTTCTAACACTTTTTTGCAGGTTTATCCGACCAATTCCATCAACACAATATTCCTTCGGAATCAGCCCAACATATTGAGGGGCTATTTGGAGCCCAAAAAATGGGCTGAAAGCCTGAAAATGCAAAAATATAGCCAAACACATGGCAAATTGGCTATTTGGGCTGTTTTCTCTTATCAGTCAAAAAAGTTAAGTATAGGGTGACTTTTTCAGCTGAAAGTTATTAATGTACCGTTGCAAACATAAAAATATTTCCTTACCCTTTTCTTTTACGTAATACATCTTCTAGGCTTCGCCATAGTGCTGCCCTTCCAGATCGACGAGAAAATCTGCCCTTCCAGACAGTGGTCGAGTCAGAAAAACGAGTTAGGGGATCGAAAATCAACCTAAATATAGAGTGAAAATGGTGGATCGTTTTTAAACAATGTCCAAGTTCAATATTTCATATGCATTTTAGATAAATAGATACTTGTAGCAATAAGACAAATTGTTTTTGCTCTGTTTCTGAGTCGTGTCACTAAATATTGAGTGAATTATACCCTATTTTTAAAATTTGAGAAAATAATCTATAGTGTGCATCAAATTCTGTTGATTTCACGTTTAGATAATGTTGATTTTCTAGAAGTGATAACTTTTTACTCATAATGAGTTACAGGGGTTATAATATATCAAATCGAAAATATTACAAAACTATATACTCTCAAACATTCAGCGGGGTCAGCTGACCACCCTCACCCCTTACTCTGCCCCTGCTTCCAGATCGACGAGAAGTGGTCATTTTCGGGTGGTGTTGCTGATTTTCGTTATTAAAGGATCACAACTCACAAGCACTAGAGATTGAACTATTGAACTCTTAATGGAAATTTTAAGAGGTTAAAGGGTGAAATCAATATAATCAGAAGCATGAACTGCAAATAACCTATTTTAATGCTTGTTAGAACCACAGAAACAGTTTTTTTTCCGTGTTATGAGCCATAACTACAAACATTGCAATCTGGAAATATTTTAGTTGTCTTATAAGTACGTAATCAAGAAAAAATAGTTTATTAGTAAAATTCACATCCATATATTTAACACAAATAAGCTAATGCTCTTTATAGTAATTTTAAAATCAATCAGTCATTTCAGTTAATATATTACCAAACACTTTCACTTCACCAAATTGAGTCTGAAAGCCATTGTCAAATGGACACTGAATTTTAGACTAGATCCAAACTTTTATTACTTGTATTAATTAATTAATTAATGTAACCACAAACAGAAATCTTAAATCACAATCACAAAAACCATTTATATTACATAATTACTTAGCATCATAACTATGATAACATCACTGATCTTACACACTAAGCTTCTTCATCTCCCTCCTAAGGGCATTGGCCCTGACCAAACTCCCAATAGTATTTACAGCAAGCTTCAAATCTTCAATGGGGTTTCCCGGCGCCACCTTCTTGTACAGATAGCTATCAAACGTCATCTTCTGCACATACTCGTCGGCGCAAAGCTCCACGAACGCCTCCCTCGCCGGATTCGACCGGTAAAACACCTTCTGCAAAACGTCCAGCACTTTGTATGTAGGCCAGTAAGTTTTGTCCCATCTCTCCAGGTACTTTCTGAGATCTGATTCCTCAACCATTCTTTTCCCTCTGTTAGATCCCTCCACGATGGCTTCCGCGCACATCCGCCCGCTTTTCGCCGCGAAGTAGATCCCCTCGCCGGAGCACTTGGTAACGTACCCTGCAGCGTCTCCGACGAGCGCGACTCTGTCCTGGATCCGGCGAGGACGCGGGTGTTCCGGGATTGGGTGGGCTTCCACGCGGATGATCTTTCCGCCGGAGATTTTGGACTCCGCGCGTTGCCGCGTTGCCAGCTGGAATTTCTTGATGTCCTGCTTGTGGGTCACCGTGCCGGTGCCGACGGCGACGTGGTCGCATTTGGGGAAGACCCAGCCGTAGAAATCAGGAGAGACGTCGTCGCCGACGTACATCTCGGCGAGGTTCTCGTAATACTTCATTTTGTCGTCGGAGATGCGGATGCGTTCTTGGAAGGCGATGGCATACTCGTAGTCGCCGGCATCGATGGATTTCGCCACTCGGGAGTTCGCGCCGTCGGCTCCGATGACAGCATCGACCTCCAGGGTCTTCTTCTCGCCGGCGCCGCCGACCTTGGAGTCGTACGCTGAGTAGTGCAGGACGTAGGGGGCGGCCGGTGACTTAGGCAGATCCATTTTCAGGAACAACCCGTTTATCACGGAGGCTCCCGCGTCAGCCGCCCGCTCACGGAGGAAGGCGTCGAGCACCTCACGGCGGACCATACCGATATACTCGTGGGGCTTGAGCGTGCGGCCGATATCAACGGCGACATTCGACGGAGAAATCATCTTCATTTTGGTGACTCGCCGGTCAATGAGATCCAGCGGGATGTCAAACTCACCGACCATACAGAGTGGGATGGCCCCACCACAAGGCTTGCAGTTGTCCATCTTCCGTTCAATCAAGAACGTCTCTACACCGCCCCTGGCTAAAGTTTCAGCGGCGGAGCCACCGGCCGGGCCACCACCAACGACTGCGACCCGAAGATTCCGACCGGTGACTCGCGGGCTGCTGTTGGATGCATTTATGCGGAGGACCCTGCGACGGGAGTGGGTTTTGGGGAGCGGATGAGAGAGGGTGGCGATGGAGGAGTTCTCCGGCGAGAGATGACGGAATCCGGTGAAGGGTTTGAGAGCAATGGAAGCCATTTTTGGGAGTGAAGTGATGTGAAAATTTTGGTTGATTTTATTAATCTTGAGCGATACTATGAGAAAATGGTGACGGTTGGATGTTTTGAGATGGACGGGTAAGATGGAGTTTGATAATGTGATGCGAGTGGTTTGTGTTTTGCCACGTTCATCAACAGTTGAGTAGGCATTTATCGACAAGGATAACGCAATGGACCATTATTGTAAGAACTATTGAGATCGCGACTGTTCTAAAGTACCAGTGTACTCTTGTAGTCTTGTTGTCAATTTTACAAAATGCAAAGGGAAAAGGGGCAAATAAGACCACGTACTAACACAAAAAGTTCAAATAAGGTCTTATTTATAAGGTTCTGTCCGGCCTTCGCCATTTGGGTTGGTTCTCTCTGGAATTTTTTGATGAAATTTTTTGAGCATCTTATTCAGTAAGTCTAGTTTACTCATACCAAATTTAAGCTAAAACTTCAATCGTGAAGCCATTCAAATGAATTCTTGAAGATAATTGCGCAGTTAAAAGCGCAGTTATCTTCAAGAATTCATTTGAATGCCTTTTCGATTAAATTTTTATCTGAAATTCGGTATGAGTAAACTAGACTTAATGAATAAGATGGTCAAAAAAAAATCATCAAAAAATTCCACCGAAAACCACCCCAAATGGCGATGGCCGGACAGAGCCTCATAAATAAGGCTTTATTTGATCTTTTTTGGTTAGTACGTGACCTTATTTGCCCCTTTTCCCCAAATGCAAATTTCACTTTTCAAAAGTTCTACTTGAAACTAATGCATTAGATGAAAATTTGTGATTGAATTGGTAGAATTGTAAATCTAATTAATGTTCCATATGCATAATTAAAATTTGTGTGTTTGGAAATTGAATTATTTGATAAGCGAAAAAGAAGTCACCAAACGAGATTTTTTTGGCAATCCAACAAGTGAAATCAAAAGTCGTATTTGGTGAGAACAAATGGCTGGTAAAAGCTAATAAGCTGAAAAATATGATCATCAAAAGAATTCTTCATCATCTTCCATTTACCTCCCATTTTCATGGTCTTCCATATTCATCACCTCTTATTTTCATCATTTTCATTTTATTCATCTTCCATCTTTATCATATCACGATCTTTTGTCATCTTTCACCTTATGTACTTCTTCATCACCTTTCAAGATCAGAAACAGCAATCAAAGTTAGAGTCACTTGAAATGTCACCGAAATTACTGTGTGTGTCATCAGCACTAAATTTTGATAAACTTATTTGTGTGAAGAAATTAAAGTGAATGTCTATTAAAAAATTTATAATTTACTAACAAGACATGTCTGGTCCAAAATGAATCTCGAGTTTTTCATTTCCACCAAAGCCTTAAGGGTATGTTTGGTTCAAGGAATGTCAGATTACCATAGAAATGACAGATCGTTGGGTATGTTATATTGATGGAAATGTATTCAATTGATTCCCATTTGTGGTTGGTTAACATCAAGGGAATGTGTCATAATTTATTTGGTTGAGAGATCTTATATTGCAGATATGATGAATTATTTTTATGCCCTTTAAATCTATAACTCTTACAACATAAATACCTTAAAAAAATTAAATGTTAAGGCAAAAAAATATGCAAATAACAAGAATAGATATTCGAATATAACTAATACTCTGTCATTCCCACCTAAAAGGTTGTTACACAATTTACGATGTTCGACTGATCATGAAACTAATCGATCTCTGTCAATAATAAGATTATTTTTAGTCAATAAAATTTACATATTTAGACACTACATTAAAAGTTTTATAAAGTCACAAAAAATTAAATTTGATAACAGTTGAATATATAAAGAAATTAAATGAAAAGAGATAATTAATTGAAGGTATTTTCGGAAGAAACTTAGATCACCTCGAGAATGTGAGATAACCTAAGGCATAGATGGGTTTAACATTCCCCTCCATATAACATTCCCGAGGATGTAACTTTCCCGATTTTTCTTCAAACCCGTGATGAACCAAACAAGGTGATGGATAAGTGTACCCGGGGGTATGTATCCGAAGGGTTACTGTGGGGAGTAACTAGAGAGAAGTCATAACAAGTAAGAGAGAGAAAGTGTATTGAATATATGACTTCAAAGCGTATTCCGAATCTGGTTTACAAAGGGGAAATGGGGTACTATTTATAGTAGCAATAAATGTGAGACGGGGACACGTGTCAAGCATCCAACGGCCGAGGGGTCACATCAACCGGGTGTCACTGGCATTCGCATGTGGCCGCATTTAATGTGGCGGTTGGATGTGATGTTGTACTTGGTACGACGACCCAGGTGTATGTGGAGAGGATATTCTTGTCGGGGAAGGTACCCTCGGCTGTAGATGATTAGGCGAGGGCTTTTCCTGTCGAAGGCCCCTTAAGGCCGAGGGCTCCAGGTGCTGAGGGCTACTGTTTTTTGCCGTTTTCTCCCAGTAACTTTGTATGCTGAGAATAGCCTTTCTGTGAGTATCTGGAGCCTTCGGCCAAGGGGCCGAAGGCACCCCCAAAGTGCATTGTTGGCTGCTTCGTAGTCGGGGCGCTGTGATTTGGGCCTGATGTGCTTCCTGGGCCTATTGGGCCTTGGTTAGAGCAGTAGAAGTCTATGGGCCGGGGGTCCCTGGTCCATATACTCCATCACGAGTCCCTCACTCCTTTTGCCGAAAGGTACTTGAGGGAAAAGGGGTAATTGTGTTTGTCCTCTGCCGTTGTTCCGTTGTAGTTTGTAAAGTTGTGAGTAGTTTGTTGTTTGCATGTTTCTGCCGAAGGCAGTCCCTCAGTTACCCACATTTCGGGACTTGAGGGATCATTTTTTTATATCTTTGTATTTTGATATTTTTCCCGAAGGGGTCCTCCTTGAGGCACTTGTAAAGTGGTGAAAAGAGTGGAGTAGTGCTTGCGTGCAATATGGAGCCGAGGGGTGACGCTTTTCGTTTCATTTTGGGGGGATGCCTCGTTAAAAACCTCATTAGAAAAAACCCTGTGGGAAAAAATTCTAATGAGGGAAAAAGAGTGCACCGAATTCCCCCAATGATGAATCGAAAAGGTGAAACCCTGGTCTGAAATGTGTGGCAGTATTCTTGCCGAAGGCTATCTTGTCTGAGGGCGCGTGTGTTGCTTTGTCGAAGGCTCGCTTTTGATATCCTGGGAGATGCCGAAGGGGAGCCCTCAATTCATGAGAATGAGGGTGCGATGAATGTAGGTGATATTTCCTGTGTTGTCAAGGGGTCCCTTGTTTGTTGACAAGTTGGGGGTCGTGGTGCCCCGAGGGGTTTCCTTGTTGCGTGGCCGGGGGGACAGTTGATGAAGGTTCCCGAGGGGTCTACCCGTTGCTAAGTCGTGGGCTCCTGGAGGAGAAAGGCCGAAGGCATTTGTGATGTTGTATGAGGAGAAAGGCCGAGAGTGCCTCTGTGATTTCAAAATGTAGTCGTTGTAATAGAGCCGTTGGAATATGTAATGTCGGAAATATAGCCGTTGGGGGGGGGGGGGGGGCTTCCACGTGGCGCGTATACATTGGCTGTCTGCGGGCAGGTGTTACCGATTGGGCGAAACGACGGTAAGTAATGATGATTCTGTAACCGGAGGCCCGGTTTCAGGCCCAAGCCCGGATCTGGGCGCCTATAAATACCCCAAGGCCAGGCCATTCTCCCTTTACGCATCCTTGTTGCAACGAAGTGCTGGCGAGAATTTTCTAGAGAGAGAAATTATCCCTCGGTCAAATCAAACTTCCCAAAGGTCAGTTCTTGCTTCACTCTTTGCTCCTTAGCATTATTAGCCCTGTGGCCTTAGGTTACGCATTAGAGCTCTCTAGAAAACCTTTAGGAGCCCTACTTCCTTAGTAAAAATGTCGTCTGCAAGTGATTCCCAAGACATCTCGAGGGAGCCCTCGGTCGAGGATGAAGTCATCTCCGATTTGGAGTCTACCAGTGAGCAGCCCTCGACTGGTGATGATGCTGCCCTGGCCATGGAGGTACAGAAAGATATGGTGGCGGAAGCTGAGGCGGACGACTTTGAGCAAGTAAATGAAGACGAGGAGCTGGCCCTCGCCGTTCAAGTCGCTGAAGAAGAGGAGCAAAAGGAAAGCAGGAAGGTCATCGTCACTATTCTTCCCCCTCGCGATGCCGGTGAAGCCAGCACCTCTCGGCCATTGAACCCGACACCTCTCCGGGTGGCCCCCGGGAAGAAGAAGGCGAAGGCTGCCGCTCCCAAGAAGAAGGGCAGCAAGGGGGTAGAGCCCCCTGCCAAGAAGTAGAAAGGTCTCGGGGATGTTGCTGAGAAGGCGGCCCCCGTAGTGATCATAGAGGATCATTCCTCTCCTGAGTCCCCCGGTTGTCACCGCGGTGACAGCTCTGACGGACCTTCCCCCGGGGGACTTTCCCCGGGAGACTCTGCAACTCTCCCTTGCTCCGGACCTACCCGGACACGTCAACAACCCGCCGTACAGTACGAATAGTCAACCGCAGTCCGACTCATCCATACTATACAAGGCGTCTTGAATACCATTCACACATAGTACATCCATAAACAAACATAATGTAAAATAATCATTTACAGCAGCGGAAACATTTTAAGACAAGTGTTTATGCCACACCTTGGCAAACATGGGCATACAAGCCCCCAAATAATTATTCAAACAAAACAATATCCATGAGCATTATTTAAATTGTTTTCAAAACAGAAACGGAAGAAGCACGAACCACGTCCTCTTCCTTTGATCTTCCCGAAGCAACGGGCGGTGGCAGCAACCTTCAAGTTCTACCTGAAACTGTGAGGTGGCCTCCCCCGTGAAGGGGAGGTCAGTACTTGGAAATATTTGACAAGTACAATAGCAACTATACTAAGTATAATTGATGTTTTAATTTCTAAGACCCTCAACTTAGGGTACTATTATATTATGGGCCATAACCCTCGGTTACCCCTTTTTCTTTTAACTGTACTTACTTTATATAGAGTCAAGTAGTCGGCCCGTGGGCCCATATTCGTTTAGAATTCATCATTCCCATTCCCCAGTGACCGCAAGTCACGATAACCTCGTGGGGTCCCCTCGAGCCCCAATTGTATAGCATGGGCTCGGCCCAACTACATTTCTATACAATCCTCTGACTCAATATAACATATCAAAGTTTGTATGGCAAGGGCTCGGCCCAACTACGTTTCCATACCGACCATAACTTCGTGGCAAGGGCTCGGCCCAACTACGTTTCCACGGAAATCACATATACATGGCAAGGGCTCGACCCAACTACGTTTCCATGCAAATCATATTACATGGCATGGGCTCGGCCCAACTACATTTCCATGTCATCCTAGAGTCCAACTCTAATTATTTTCATAATCCAATTCTCAAGCAAATCCTATGCCTAGAATCAATTTTCTTGGGTAGCCTTAGGCCTACCCCTATCACACCTTAGTGTTCATATAATTCAACCTTAAAGTATCTCTTAAGACTACTTAAGGCATACTCATTTACAATCCTATCTCTTAGGATTAATTCCATCATTTATTTATAGTAATCTCCCGACTAGTATTCCAACACTAGTCGGATAATCTTAGAACCGCCAAGTTCTTAAGTCATAGCCAATTAATTCATCCCGATTGATTTTCCAATCCAAATATAATTTAATCCAAATATCAAAACTATCACTTTTAACCATTCATGAATTTCATACATGAAGTAAAAGTATATTTTATCACAATGTCATCATAGTAATTTCATTAACATGCCGTTCCATTCATTTCACATAATCATACACAATTGTTCTAAATTTGTATATCATGCTTCACTCACTCATATCAATATTATTTTCATTTAGGCATTATTAATCATTAA